TACTTGCCACATATAAGCAAAACGTTGAAAATTATTGAAATCGGACTAAAATTACGGCCGCTTTTCATATAACGGTAAATTTCAGAAATGCTTGAAGCTTCAATATTTCGAAATTGAAGGACGCTAATTTACTCCAAATTGATACACCGCGGCTTACTATCTAGCGGTAGGTTTCGGAAAGGTGAAAAAACATATGTGACCTGGTCTACGGAAAGGGGGTTTAGGTGTCAAAAAATCAATTTTCACTTTTTGGTTGATTCGGATGGAAGATGAGATGCTTTTTCACGTGGTGAAAAGCAGAAAATCCTAACTTGCTTAGAAGTGTACTAAAAATTTTGTTACCAGCTCCTCCTCCTTTACATCAACAACATACAGGTCCATCTTAACAAAAGTTTGTTCGGTATCATCTTCTGCCTGAGATACACATACTTCGTCTTCATCATCATCGCTCTCTTCATAGTTTTCATGATCGCTTTCATCATCCTTTTCATGGAAATATTGTCCGTATACGGCACTGAACTCCTCATCAACACTCATGCTTCATTTCATGCGAAATGCGAAGACGATAATCAACAGAAACAGTAAACGTCACGTCTTCAGTGTTACTTTTTTAAATGTTCCACCTAGCAACTTACACGATGATTATCGATACACGATATTTATCGACTTTGTAAGCGATATTTATCAATTTTGTTATCGATTTTAATATCGATATTAACCGATTTTGTTATCGATATTTATCGATTTTGTTATCGATATTTATCAATTTTGTTATCGATATTTATCGATTTTGTTATCGATATTTATCGAATTTGTTATCGATATTTATCGATTTTGTTATCGATATAAATCGATTTTGTTATCGATATTTATCGATTTTGTTATAGATTTTCTAATCGATTTAGTTACCAATGGTATTATCGATGTTGCTATTAAAATTTTTATCGAATTTGTCATCGATTTTGGTATCGGTATTTTGATGGACGATTTTTGTTATCGATAGAGTATAATGATAAAAATTAAGATAATGAAAAAACAGGATAACATGAATGTTATTAAAACGAACAGTGGTAGAGGTAGGGATCTACATTGATAGAAAAAAAGCGAAAAAATATAACCTTAAGCAAAAGCAGATGTGTGTATGTATAGATAGAAAAGTAACGTAAGTTTCACTTCTACAGTGTGGCCCAGGCACACTTACTTTTTTGTATAGGAGAAACTGAACCTGAACGATTAAATGTTTTTTCTCCCCTTTTGAAAAAAAAAACGTAAAAATCAGAGATGCTGAATAAACTACTTATATGAGGCGCTTTTGTTTTGTTAATGCGCAAAAATAACTTATCAAAATAATTTCGTTTCGTTTCAGAGCTAAATTAACGAAACAAAACTCAATCGTTAACGTTGAAACGAAATAAATCATAAATCGTTAACATCGAACCGAAATAAATCAACGAAAAATTGTTGTTGTATGCCATTGCCAACTGAATTTATTTTCGTTAAAAATAAAAATATAATTATTTTGATAATTACTTAAGCGACAAAAACTAAATCGTGTCAACAGAAACGATTTTATTTTGAAAACGCCAAAATTAATGTTACAATGCATCCTTAGTAAAAAAAACAACCAATCATAGTGCCCATGTGGTTGTTTCTGGTGTAGTTTATTTGAGAATTGAAATAGCTTCAAAATATAACTTTTGTGGCTAACCTAGAAGATGTACTCAATAAATAATGTTAGAAGACATGTTGAACCAATTATGCTGAGTGGGATTATAGTACGATTGTAGCAAATAAATCTCTAGGGGTTTTTTGTATGATATTAAAAGCCTCCCTTAATTATGACAACAATTCAGGGTATTCATCTAAACGCGTAAATATCTCGTAACTGTGTAAACCTCGTAAATAAACCGGTTTGCCATACAAAATTAAGCAAGTTTACGAGGTTTACGTGTTTACGATGCATTTACGCGTTTAGATGCCCTATTATTTTACAAATGAGTAATGTCTGTATTTCACTTACCTAAAGGAATGTTGACCCCGTTGGGATGCACAGGTGGCTTGTGACCAACTACTGAAATGGGCAACACTGCCCCCGAAGTGGAGGATGGCGATGGTGACGATGTGTCACTAGAGCCTTCAAGTGATTGCGCCGGTGTGGGTACTGTTGTCATGTGATGTTCGAGTTGTGGAGCTGAGACAGGTACGGAGGCGATGGTCGGGACTGTGGCCCCGATCATACCTCCACTACTACCTCCGCTACCATGGTCAGCCTGCGGCGGAGATCGAATAGCTGTCGAAATATGATGATGTGCGGCAGCGGCAGCGGCAGCAGCTGCAGCACTTGCATGATGACTCTGGTTCAAATGATGATGATGATGCAAGTGGTGATGATTGAGCAGTGCCGTTGGCGCATGAACGACTGGTGGCACCTCGTGCATCTGTAAAATTCGTTGCTCATCTTGTGCCTGTGCACGTCGTAATGCTGTCTGTAGTGCCATGACACGTTGCCGATCAGCAGTAAGGCGACATTTTTCGCATGTGCAGTAACGGAATTTGCAATATCGTTTGTGTCCTTTTAGTGTGATTTTAAGTCCATGATTACGACACCGGGCGCAATTGGGAGGAGTTCTAGGGGAAATCGAACTGCCACTGCTGCTAGATGCACCACCACAAACGTCAGCCTTAGAATCAAGCATGTCCGAATCGGACATCGTGTCGCTATTCCAATTATCTTCAGAAACCATTAAAGAAAAGCTACGACGAGGATTCGCTGTCTGTGCTTTTGCGACTATAACTCTTTTTATATAAATAGATAAATTACACAGATATTTAATTTTTTTTTTCACAGCTACAATATACACCTACGTTTGTTTCAATCTTTGAATATTTAACACTTGCATATAAGTAGGTTCTAAAGTTTTCACTTCTTTCATCAACAAATATGGGTTGGATTGCTTATCGTTTTCGCAATAGCTTTTGTTACCACATACATTTATTTATGTAAATGATTTACTTAAAACTTCTTATTTGGATTAGTTAATTGATTTACACTTAGACGATAACAATACATTTGCTTCTGTTACTGTGATTCACAATGAAAAAATATGTATCTATTCCGTTGAAGGATTCACTTTTCAATATTGGCTAAATATATACGTAAGTATATTTTTTTGTATATATAAACGAACTTTGTAAACTAGTTGTCGAGCATTTTTCAATGGTTTATTGTAAGAAAGGTTCCGCACATATGTATATGTAAATGATTTTATTCGATCACTACTTTTCCGAAAATCGGCATTGCTCCAGAATAGATCTCCATCCACCTCTCTTCAATTAGTCGCAGTGTCGTCATGGCACTAATTTTACCCAGCATCAAAAACGAATTATCTAAGGAAGTTTAATATTTATCTGAAAAAAAAAATCTAATTAATCTCTATTTAAATAGTTGACCAACGAAAAAGAAAATAAAGCTAATGGTTCAAATACGTAAATTTGAAAATAAATATAGCTTCAATATAAAATAAAGCGAAACCCCCAGAATTTGAGAAAAACCGGATGCACCTTGTTTTTGTTGTTGCCACTTAAATGCAGACTATTGGATTTTGAATTTAAAAACTTGATTCTACATTCAAATCTATACATAGTATAAAGGGAAGTCGAGATTCTTTGTGCGCGGTAACCTCGAAAACTACTGAACGGATTTTGACGAGATTTTCTCTAATATACTCTGTATCGACAGGAGAGGGATCTTTTCTTACTTAGAATTTTAATAGGGCTGCCACCTGTCTAAAAAACTATAAGATCCGCACCGTTCGTTGGATTACAAAAGATGAGGTGTCAAATGAAAGGGATTGGCCTCTGGAAAAGCCCTAATATTTTTTTTTTAATAGGCTTGCCACCTGTTAGTAAAATTACTATAATTAATCTTAAAAATGTAGGCATCAGTTCTGTACCGCCACTGTCAAACGAAAATACTTATAGCCCAGTTAGGCATACTTAGCTCAGCATGAGAGTTGTCGCATAAGAATCTGTTAAACGGGTTTGCGTATAAGCGGTTACCCAACGCATAGCACTTAACATGTAGAATTCTCTTGGGTTTTGATTTTTACGTAAAAATGGTATAGCAGTGCAAGTATGCATAACTGGGCTATTAGCCTCTACATGCACAATAATATATTATTTTTCTGAGTAGGGTTGCTGTTCGTTGGATTACAAAATGAGATACCAAATGAAAGTGCATGGCCTTCGCATGTACAAAAACTTTATTATTTTTTAAGTAGGGTTGTCACCTAATTAAACTTACTATCTTCTATACATAGTATAAAGGAAAGGCAAGATATTTTAACCACGCTACATAATAAACGAAGTACATGATGACATATGATTTCTTTCTCCAAATACGTAAATGTACATACATATGCATACATTCAGGCGCGTGACAAAGCCTCGCGCATCCGTGGCCGGGTTGTATTTATATATGTATACGTCCAAATCATGACGGTGAAGAATTTCAGTTTGAAAGAGCTATTTGTGCAAAATTGCAGTAAATTAAAATTTTTATCTCATTTGCCGATTAGTATAATTGACAGTGAACCACACATTTAATCAATTGAGTTAAATGCATTTTTATTTAAATTTCCAGTTGCTTTTTAGAATTTGGGGATATTACTGAATAAGCCCAAAACTTCGCCTTTGAATTTAATTAAAAAGTTGTCCGGGAGAATTTCTCATTTCGTGAACGCAACTATAAATCTTCAAATATTTTTTTCACTGAACGTGTCAGGTGGTAGCAGTGCCAGTGGTCTTTCCAAAGTGCGTTTTGACAGGTGACTGGCGTATATTTGTTTAACAGAATAAATAATCAAATAAAAGAGGTAAGTCAGTTTTAATTGCCAATGTATATAGCGTACATCAATTCAGCATCATTTCGAGTACGCTATTTGTAGTGTTAAGGTTAAAATCGTATATAATTTTTAATATCAATATAAGTAGTTGTAACATAATCTCAAAAAAACTAAGTTTAACATTGTAATACAAAAAAGAAAAGCCGATAATGGCGGTGCTGTCATTTCGGGACTGTGACGAAGAGATAAAATGCACTTACGATATTATGTTTTAATTAAATTTGAGATGTTTCGATTATTTATACAAACTCGGCCAAATTTTAGCTGTACAAAATTAATCAAAGTGCATACGTTTAAAAAACGTTGAGGAGATGACTTTATAGTTAATCATTCAATATGTTTCGCGATACATTCAAAAATATGTATATCACTTTGTGCTCTGCTCGATCATAAAGTAAATTGACTAATCCAACTCATAATAGTGTAAAATCATTTTTACAAGCTTTCATCCTGCGGATATTTTCAATCGATCTAAACTAGCTTCCCGACAAGCTATAGACATGAAATTTTCAGCATAGTTCCAATCCCGATGACAAAGCAATATAAAATTTAAATTAATTCCCTAGATGATCCAAGGGTCTTGATGCAAAGGCGGTCAAAACACAGTAAAATTTATAGCTAACAGAGCGTAATTTGTCAAAGAACGTAAAAACGCTATGAATTTGCTAAATAATAAGTATAGTTTCAGGCGCTAGTAAGAAAAATACCGGAAATTAGCTTCAGTCAGTGTTTAACCTGGCCAAACTGTTGAATTTTAGGCACTTTTGTTAAGAATTACATTACATATGGGTATTACCATACGTCGCATACGTGACAGTCGAACGTTTCAATGTGATACAAAAAAGGAATACCATTTGTTTTCTTTAACTTTTTTGGGCCATTGTATAGCACATAATTAGCTCTAAATTTAACCGAAAAACGAAATCAATCGAACTACTTGGTCTTGAAATATAAGCATTTAAAGAGAGTGTCGTTACGTGACAAAAAATAGAAGTTGATTTTTTCTTTTCTTACAAAATCGCAAAACTCTGCGAGTTGTGGATGGCTATTTTCATGAAACTTATTTTAATATGATTTAGAGCAATTCTAGTTGTTTTAGAGTTTTTTGAATTAGTGCAAATTGATCCAATTTTCTTTTACAACCCCAAGTGTGAAACGTGACGTGACGTGGCGTCACGTGACATAAATTTCCATCGTTTTATTTATTTATTTAAAAGAGAACTAATTATAAATAACTAATCCACTTGTAAGATTAAGCACTGGCTACCAGAGCCTTCGGCTCTTAGTAAGGATATTTAGTTGTATGTGTTGTTATATGTCTCTGATGTTACACAGTTTAAGAAATTTATTAATAGCGCTGATGTTATCGATGTTGGTAGATTTGAGAAGTTCGGAGGGTCTCTTATTCCCAAAGGGAAGTCTAACTAAATCCAGTGCAGTACATTCGTCAATGAAGTGAATGACTGATTGGGGGGGCCGCGTTGCAATGGTGACAGCTTGGTTGATCGGTACCGTTAAGAATATAGCTGTGGGTTCTTGTAGTGTGGCCTATTCTAAGACGAGTGAACGTTTTGATGTTGTGGCATGAGCAGTCTGATGGGTAGATAGGTTTTACACCGGTTGAATTTTGATCTCTGTAGTGGTGTTGGTAGCTATTCCAATCTCGTAGACGCATTTGATCGCAGAATTTTTTTATATGTTCTTTTATGTCTTTTGTAGTATAATAAGGAAAGGACACCAGCGGCTCTCCATTACCTTCTTTTGCATGTTTATCTGCTATCTCATTGCCTTTTATACCAGCATGCCCTGGTACCCACATGAACTTTATGCTATTATCGTGCCGGAAGAGTATATCGCGTATATTCTGTATTAGCCATGAATTATTTTCTGAGTTTTAAAGTGCGTCAATCGTTGATTTACTATCGCTACATATTATATGTTTTTTTCTTGTTTTTGAGGCATAAAGAACCGCTTCGTAAATTGCCGCAGCTTCTGCTGTAAAAACTGAGCAATATAATGGCAAAGCACCGACAATTATAGCGACACCCTGATCGTTTGACACTGCAAACGTGGTAGAAGTATCCGTTTTTGATCCGTCGGTATAAATGCGTTCCCATTCTGGTTTATAAAACTCGATACGGTTAAATGGTATAAAGACTGGGAGTAGACAGGGTAGTCACGATAGGGAAATGGTCACTACTATGTAAGTCTTTTAATGTCAGGGACGAAAGATTAGGGGCAATTGAGGCGGATGAAAGAATAATGTCTACGTGGGTAAACGAATTATGTGTGGAGAAGTGTATTGGGTGCCCATCGTTTAGAACGACTACGCTTTTGGCGAGTATAGCGTCTTCTAACTCCTTACCTCTGCTGTTTGTAGAATCAGAGCCCCAAAGGGAAGACCATTTTACGCAAACATGATTCTACTTACACAGCCAGTATATATTTTAAAGAGCAGACAATTCGGCCCCTAATTACGTTAGTTATAAAACTTTTATTTTTTTTTGTTGTGGTGGACCTTCCGCAGGAAACACCCATATTTGGTTTCCTCACACTGGGAGTTAGTGAAATACAGAGGTACGACAAAAAAACACGCAAAATGCACATGCATGCATCTAAAATGTGTACATATGTACTTCTAACATCCCGCAGGCGAACAAAATTCAGTTAGTACGATGTGCTTTTTCTGAATACTGTTAAGGCGATGCGGATAATGCTACATAGTCGTGTGCCATGGGATGTTAAAGGTAAATGGAAAACAATTGTCTATAATTAACATACCGAAGTAATCAAAAGGATTAGCTTAGGTGAAAATGCTACAGTTTAAGATAGAATTTACCTTTAAAGAACTATTATATTTAAAGCAACAAGATGAAATCTTTATCAGCGCTGTTTGCTCATAGAGCGCTACAGCTATGCATATAAAAGAGTGGGTGACGTCGATAACGATGTTTAAATGGAGGTTAGTGTTAACCAGATATGGCGAAAACAACGCTTAGGGCCGATTTTATACCCGAGCGCACTTGTGCACAAGGGTATTGTAACTTTGTTCACATAACGGTTGTTTGTAACAGGCAAAACGAATCGAGATAGATTTAGACAAATGTATACAAAAATAATTAGAATGAAAAGGGAAATCGATTAAGCGGTGACTGTCTGTCCATCCGTCCATCTGTGCACACGATAACTCGAGTAAAAATTGAGATATCTTAACAAAACTTTGTACGTGCACTTCTTTCGGACGGACGGACGGTATTGAAAATGGGCGAAATCGGACAATAACCACGCCTACCTCCCATACAACGGTAATTTTCAGAAATACGGCAACTACGATATTTTAGTAACCACTGAAGATTATTCACTCAAAATTGATATTTACAATAATTTTTAGACGAAAAATAAGATTATAAATTTTTGCAAAATGGGCGTAGCCATGCCCACTTATGGTTACATGTATTTATCTTGGTAACCGCTGCATTAATTTCTTCCAAACTTGGCACAGTT